AAAAAACATTTGTGCTGATTTGATTCAAAAAAAGTTTTAGCCGGAAAAAAAAAAAAAAAAAAAAATGAGTTTTTGTGCGATATTTCACTAGTTCTTTACCTAGTGAAAACAAAAAGGATTAATAAGAAAAAGAATGAACAAACACATAACTGAAAAGCTAACTGATAAAAAGGATCGTTTCTTCTTTGCCTCTCTCTCTCTCTCTCTCTCTCTCTCTCTCTCCATCTCTACTGCAAAACAGAATTAAACTTCCCCAATTCTCGAGTTTCTAGGCCTTTTTTGCTTCTCTTTCTTCTAGGTTCTCTGTATTGGAAACTCAAATTCTCCGGCAGAGATGGCGGATTCGACGACGAGGGCAGCAGACGCAGATACTGAGTTAAAGAAGATAATAACAGAGATTTTGTCGTACGGAGGAGGACGCAAAGATCGCAACGGAGGTTCTGGAATCTTGATGAAAGCAATTAACGAAGCAAACAGAATCATCAACCGTCTCAGAGAAGTTGAACCAGAGACTGATATCCTTTCTTCTCCGTCGCCCGGAAAAGATGGATGTGCCGAAAGAGTTTAAATGTACACTCTCCAAGAAGATCATGATCGATGAGTTGATTACACAATGGTGTCTACTTCACAAATTTGAGTTGCCAAAATCATCACAAGAGATAGTTACTGATGGAATAAGCTCATTGCTTCAGAGGATTTCATCTCCTTCCTCGGTTAAAGATCAGACAAAAGCTGCAGAAGAGCTTCGCAGCCAGACCAAGAGATTTGCTAATGTCCGAGCCATCACACGGCTGCTCACACCACTCTCTTCTTTGATGAGGAGGTTGACTCGAACCTTGAACTTCAGGAGAATCTCATCACGACATTGTTCAACCTCTCGATCGTTGCGAAGAACAAAACAGTAATCGCTGAAACCCCTTTAGTGATCCCACTGCTTACAAACTCTTTAAAGCAGGGGACAGCTGAGACTAGAAGAAACTCTGCAGCGACTTTACTGTCACTTTCAGCCGTTGATTCTAATAGGCTCCTCATCGGTAATTCGAAAACGCTCAACGCTCTGATAGGTCTAACCGGAGAAGGGGGTTTGTTCATAACTGAGGCTGCCTCTCAGTTTTCAACATCTATAGTGTATCAGTATCAGAGAACAGAGAAAAGGCTGTTTCAGCTGTTGATTCCTGTGCTAACCCATAAGATCAAAGAAGGAAGTAATGTGGCTGAGTTGTTACCTCTCTTGGCATTGTTGTCTACACACAACCGTGGGGTTAAAGAAATGAATGATCTAGGGTATATCAGTGATCTGTTGAGTATCTTTAGGAAACCGAGTTGTCCAGAGATTCACGAGAACGCTGTAGTGATCGTGTTTAACATGTTGAACGAAGAGGAAAATCAATATGGGACGTTTACGAAGCTTGCGAGGCAAGGATCAGATCGTGCAGTGAGGAAAGCAGACGCGATTTTGAAGTGGCTTAAGAGACACGGTACCGGTAAAGAGTCGCAGAGGGGGTGAAGGACAGAAGGAACCACCAAAATATTATGGTCTTGTTGATACAGAAGATATAGTTTTGCGAATTTACTATTGGAACATACATATTGGGTAGGCCTGTTCAATCTGGGGTTCGATCCGGTTTGTTTCGGTTTTCGGTTATTCGGTTTATAAAAATTAGCTACCATATTGGAACCATATTTAATTTGGTTTGGTTCGGTATTTATTCTACCGGTTTTCGGTTTATTCGGTTTTATACCAAATAACATTATTATTTGATTTGGTTTCATATTATATGAATTAAAAAAAAAATATTGTCAAAACTATCATTTATTAAAATAGTCCTATGTGTTCAAAAATATAAAAATGTGAAATTAACAATAAACAAAACGGCCAACGATTCAGTTTTGTATAGCTTTTCTTATTTTCTCTTTGTTCTTCCAAATAAATTACATGGTACAATCTAATTTCACAATTTCTTAAAACATGCAAAATCAAATCAAATTTAGATAATAGTTGAAGAAAAGAAAATAAAATTATTAAGATATATTTTCACAAGGAATAAAAAAAGTAAAAAAAAATACTGTTCCAAAAGAATAGATGGTTATATAATGTATATATTTATATATTTTATTCTTTGATCGGTTTTGTTCGGTTTATTCGGTTTAATCGGTTATAAACCTAACCATATCCAAATCCTACGGTTTTTATAAAATCATATCCATTCGGTTTATATAGTATATACCAAATCCAAACCATATTGTCTATTTCGGTTCGGTACGGTTCGGTATTACCATATTGAATATCCCTAATATTGGGAGATAAATTCTCATCAATTTTGAATATTTTGAAATTTCTTTATTATTGGCTCTTGGATTTTAAAACTCTTTCTAAATCCACTATTATTGGTTTAAGAATTTTTAAAATATATTCAAATACCTTGTTAGTCAAAAAGTCTATTCATTATTGACTCTTTAATTTTAACTAAATCTAGTGTTATTGATAGATGAATTTTCTACCTTTAAACACATAAGACACAACTTTCAAAAATATCATACTCCCTCCGTTTCATAATAAGTGTCGTTGTAGAGAAAATTTTTCGTCACAAAATAAGTGTCGTTTTCGGTTTTCAAGGCAAAATTTATTAACTTTATAATGTAATTTATTTTTCTATTGGTTGAAATATGGTTAGGTGTATGGGTAATTGTGTTTTTATATAGAAAATATGCAAAATTAATTGTTTCCTTAATCCGTGCGCACGAGCTTAGAGTGACACTTATTTTGAAACAGAGGGAGTATGTTTTATGAGATTTTCAAAATCCATGTGATTAAAACATCTAGAAAAGAAAATAATCCTTCTTACCAAATATATATTTCACCTTTAATCAAAATTATGTGTCTCAAATAATAATTCATTACATTTTTATTTACTTACATTTTAATATATAATTATAATTATATTTTCTCTCAACAATTCAAATTTTATTTTTAAAAAAGAATTTGATGAAAAACAACATATGTATATCAACAAGATCATTTTTATTAAAAAAAGGTAATTCTTTTATCTGTAATCACATGCCTGACGAAAATTTCTAAATAAATAATTATACATTAAAATCATCATGATTTAGTTATTTTGAAAACATGTGCATGAAATTTCAAAATATTAATGGTTATGTTATCTAATACTACTCCAATTTTATTTTGTTTGTTTTCAATTTTTTTTGTTCAAAATAACATACATTAAATAATACAAAATTTTATAAATATTTTAACAAATCGAAGACGAGGGACTGAACTAAACGAAGCTTAAAATGATAATACAATTTTAGCCTAACTAGAATCATCAAAGTTGTTGTTCAATTAGAAAAAAATAGATGCAATCCAACATTACCCAAATTGAATACTTGAACTAATGGGAACCAACCATCATTTTTGAAATCACAATATATTTAAGATGAAAGCAAAGCATAATGATACTTGACACAGTTTTTATTTATTAATTTACATATAAACTACAAGATATCTTAAAATTATAAACAAAAGTCAATATTTACTGATTATTTTTATAAATATTTGTATCTTGAGTAATGTTCATAATAAATGGGAAGTTGAATGATTACAAATTTGTTAAAGTAAACATCGATGAATCTGTGTATGTTCTGTTCCTCTCAACTAGTACTTTGGATTCTTTTTCTGTGGTTCTGTGTCATCGTTGAATATTCCTCTCCACTCGTCTTTCTTATCTATTTACTTTGTCTTTGGATTTTCTTTTGTGTGGTTTTGCTTCATAGTTGTTATTTATCTCTTTGCTAGAAATCATTGATATCCTGTTGTTCAGTTTCTTGCGTGCTCACTATTCATGGCTTCTCCGTCTCTCACTTGGACACATGATGTCTTCCCGAGCTTCTGTGGAGAAGACGTGCGCAAAGGCTTTCTTAGTCACCTTCTGAAAGAGCTCGAAAGCAAAGGAATCAAGCCTTTTATTGATAATAAGATTGAGCGAGGCCAGTCTATCGCTCCCGGGCTCGTGCAAGCGATCAAAGAATCAAGGGTTGCCATTGTCTTGCTCTCCCGTAATTACGCTTCTTCAAGGTGGTGTTTGGATGAGTTGGAGGAAATCATGAAGTGCAGGGAAAGGGGTCGACAAACAGTGATAACTATTTTCTACGGAGTGGATCCATCTGATGTTAGGCAGCAGACCGGAGCTTTCGGAGAGGCCTTTAACAAAACCTGTGTGGGAAGAACTGAAGAGGAGAAGGAGGCATGGAAGAAAGCTTTGGTGGATGTCGGCAATATAGCTGGTTATGACTCTAGCAGATGGTTCGTTCACTTTTAATTCCCACTAGCTTATTATCTTATACCTACTTTTTCATGATGTCTTTTTTTAAATGGTTAGCCTCTGTTTTTGTTAGGCACAAGGAAGCTGATTTGATCGAGGTAATCGCCGTAGATATTATGAAAATGTTGGGGCGTACAGCATCAAATGATTTTGATGACTTTGTTGGTATGGAAGCTAGTATCACGAAGATAAAGTGCTTGTTGATCCAACAATCAGATGCTAAAGTTAAGTTCATAGGGATCGTGGGTCCTGCTGGGATTGGTAAGACAAGCACTGCCAAAGCTTTGTACAACCGCTTAGCTCGTGATTTTGAGTATAGCACGTTTATTGAGGATATCAGAGGAAGCAAAGAGATGCCTTCTCTCGGTGGCTCCCATCATAAGTATCAGTTGGATTGGCAGAATGAGTTGCTTTCTCGGCTTTTCAACCAAAAGGATTATAAGGTTGATCACTTGGGAGTGGCGAAACAAAATCTGGGAGAGAAAAAAGTGTTGATTGTTCTTGATGAAATGGATTGCTTGTTGAAGCTAGAGGCAATGGCAAACACGGCTGATTGGTTTGGTCCCGGAAGTGTTATTATCATTACAACCGAAGATAGAAAACTTCTCAAGGCACAAGGAATCAAATATATTTACAATATGGAACTTCCAGATGAAGATGGGGCAATTCAGATCTTGTGCCGATATGCTTTCGTTCAAAAGTCTCTAGATTATGGACCTGCGACTAGAATTGCCAGAGCTTTGCACAACGAATTCATTCATGATATCAAAGGATTGGAGATCTTCTGCCAGTATGCTTTCGATCAAAAGTTTTTAGAGTATGGTCCTGAGAAGAGAACTGTCAAAGCTTTGCGCAACCAATTCATTCTTGATATCAGAACAAGTAGTGAGATGTCTTATCTCCTTGGCTCCGATTATAAATATCAGTTGGATTATCTGTATGATTTTTATAAGCTTGCTCGGGAAGTTACTGAACTGGCTGGTCGTCTTCCTCTGGCCCTAAGAGTTTTGGGATCGTCTCTACGAGGAATGTCTAAAGACCAGTGGGAAAATGCACTACCAAGGCTCAGGTCTAGCCTTAACAAAGGAATTGAATCAATTCTAATGTTTGGCTACAAAGGCTTACGTGATGATAAAGACAGAGCTCTTTTTCTGTATATCGCATGTTTCTTTGTTGATTTCGAGATTGATCGCTTTAAACGTTGTCTTGAAGATTGTGATTTGGATGTCGACCATGGGCTTTATAACTTAGAGCATAAAAGTCTCATATACACAGAATACGAAAGCGTAAAGATGCACACATTACTGCAACAAATGGGTAGAGATATCGTCAAGAAAAAGACGAACAAGATTGGAGAGCGACAGTTCTTGATGGATACCAAGGATATTACTGAATTACTTGAAGATGAAGATACTGTAAGTTTCTTTGTTTACATCTCTAGTCTTCTTCTTATGTCTGTCTCCTTGGTTTTTCTTAAGCTGAGGTTAACTTCTTTTTTGAATAATATAATATATTCTAGGGTACTGAAGAAATTCTAGGCATAACGCTACATGCATGGGGAGGGGAGGACATCCAAATAAGTAAAATGGCCTTCCAGAGGATGAAGAATCTCCAGTTTCTAGTACTCGACTCTGATTACGTACGCATACCCGAAGAAGGCCTCAGCTGTCTTCCCAACAAACTCCGACTTCTAGAGTGGAATTACTATCCGTTGACATGTTTGCCTTCTAAGTTCTCTTGCAAGTATCTTGTCGAACTTACCATGACAAACAGCAAACTTCAGAAGCTTTGGGATGGAATCAAAGTAAAAAAAAAAATAGTCAGCACTTTTTATTGTATTGTATTGTGTGTAAAGTAGGATTAGTCTCATTTCTAAAGCTTTTCTGTTTCTTTTGTATAGCCTCTCCAACGCCTCAAGGTGATGTCTTTGAGGGCGTCTCGGTATCTGAAAGAGATTCCAGATCTCACAAATGCAACGAGTCTCGAGAAACTAGATCTTGATGGCTGTGAAAGTTTGTTAGAGCTCACAAGCACTATCGGCTATGCCACTAAGCTTACTAGTTGCATACTTGGCTGTTGCTTTCTTTTGAAGGAGCTCCCCTCTTCTATGAGTAGGTTAATCAATCTCGAGAAGTTGGATATGTCTGAGTGTAGAAACCTCAAGGAGTTCCCAAATGTTTCC